CCTGCATTGCCATGAAAAATGAGAACTGCCTGTATTCAGAATAATACAGATGGTAATAGGTGCTAAGGAAAAATTCATCGTGTTAAGATAAATTAGAACGTCAGGGTAGGGAGGGAAATTGATATTTTATACAGAATGTTTTACATTAGTTGACATTAGGCAGAAAGAGTTGAAGGAGGGATGAAGGGAGCCATGTAGCTGTGTTGGAGAAGAGGCAGAGCAGTTTATGCCTAGGCTTTTCCAAAGAATCACTGTGGCTGAAAACTGAAAGCCAGTAGAGGGAGTACGAGTGCTACCAGAAGAGAGAATGCCGGCTGGGACAGGGAGGGGTGGTGGAGGTGAGAAATGTGCAAATTAGGCATGTAACTCGGTGTTGTGCTGGGGCAGCCGAGAGAACCAATTGTTAATTTTCAGGAATTTTGCAATCTGGTTGTTCAACTGTTGATAGCTTGAAACTGTCTATGTGGGAAGTTATTACGCTGCAGAGATTGGCAAGCACTACAAATCAGCTTTTTGTTTTTCCCTTTCAGAAAGTCCATTGTTAAACGTTTACTGTCTCACGTAAGAGGACATAAGCATTTCAAGGGCAGAATTGAATACAGGGCTTTAAAAAAGAGAGAATGAGAAATCAAGAAGGACTCCAGGATGTTGGACTGTGGCGGTGTATCTACGTGTTTCTACCCTGAGCAGCAGGGCTGGGAAGGCTGCAGGATGCTAGGAGAACGAGTGTCCCATCACAGAGAAAGCAGGGAGAGCTTCTTTCTTTCTTGGTGTGAGACAAAGAGGAAGGAGAATCATTTTTTCTTAAAATTGGGATGGGGGTTCGTTTGTATTCAGGAAGCAATAGTGAACCTGAACAAGGCTGGGAAGTTGGGGTAGGCAGGAATCCAGAAGGCAGAATAACTCTTGAGAGGCTAGAGAGAATCTGTGGTTTATGGTCAGTCCCAAGGCGATGGATGCGAGGAGTCCTAATGTGATTAGATATGGCGTGTTTCTCATATTCCAGGGAGGTGTCATGAGTCACTCTCAGAGCCCCATCCTACGGTCCCTGCTCAGCACCATGAATGGAAGACCCTGCTCCGGAGCATCAAGGACTCTGCAAAGGAACAATAGGAGCCTGCCGGCAGGCAGATATCCTGGGAGGACAGGCATTTGGAGCTGAGTCTGGGGAAGCTTCTCACCAGCTCCTTCTCTCAGGCTGAGCCCTTCAAGGAAGGAAGGAGGCAGTACAGACCGAGGGTCCCTCATGGCAGAGGAGGAGGGAAAGAGCTCTGGGAAACACGTCCACATTTAGTCATCTGCTCATCATTCAAGAAATGATTCCTGAGAGCCTGCTATGTCCTTAGTGCTGGTCTTCCTCCTGTGTTGCCTATCGTGGGTGGACAGGCAGCCCTGAGATAGAATTTCACCTGCTCAGCCCTCCTCGCAAGTCCTGACACCCTTTCCCTCATCCCTCCCACTCAGGCACTGAGAGCCTGAGAGCACTAAGAGCAGCCCACTTGAGGCATCTCAACATTACTCTACAGTGGGGATTCCTTAGACCTCATGGAGTACAGCATCAAATAATCAAGAGATGGCCTGCAAGGGACCACCCACAGAGTTGGCCCTCATTCAGCCCCTTCTCCCCACCTCCTCCATGGGCCCCTAGGGTGCTATGGACATCTTTGAACACCCTTGCTGTAGCCCACCTCCTGCAGCACCCACACACTTCCTGGAGTTGGGATTCTCCTAGAGGCTTCCCTGAGACTTCTGAGGGTGCTGAGGAAGCCCCATCACCTTCTCCAAACTCCACTGAGCCTGAGGCTGTGTGGTATGTGGGGGGTCCTCCTGCTGGCCTGACCTTCTGGAGCAGCCCTTGGCCCGCCCTCCCTCCTCTACACTTACAATCAGGCCTTCTGCTTCCAGTGGACGTAGGCGGCAGAGACACCAACCAGCAGCAGCACCTTGGAGCCCAGGAGGAGACCTAGGAGGAGTGGGGCAGTAGGAGCTGGCACCGGGCCTGGAAATCAGGAGACAGGAGGAGTCATGAGAGGGACCACTTGGGAGGCCATCCCAGGGGCCTCAACTGAGGCTATCTGGGCTGGTCAGTTCTCCAAATCAAGAGTTCAGAATGAGAAGATTGGAGCAATTCTCTACACTTTAACAAGTGCAGTTTGGTGTTGCAGAGACAGGGGCTATCAATCAGGCTTGTGGAATTCAAACCCTGGCTCCCAGACCTGTTCACCACCCAGGTCCCCTCTCTGAGCCTCAATATCTTTATCTCTAAAAGGGACAGCAAATGGCTCCTACTTCATAGCACTGGTTAAAAGGAGAAAATGCCAGGATGACAGTACAGTATCTGACACAACTGCTGCTCCTTGGCCCCCTCCCACCTCCCTCCTCTTTCATCCAAGTGGTCATTTAGGCCAATAGCATGGCAAAGAGGAGTGAGACCTCTACTACGAGTTAGCAGATCTGAGTTAAATCTGAGTCACTTGCTAGCTGTCATTGTTCTAGGTATGAGACGCACCACCTGGGAATTTCAATGTCTTTGTCTGTAATATTTGCAAATTAGGATAAAGCCACGTTCCCACCCATGTTCAAGGGTTCTGGGGAGCCTTGATTGCTATATCACGTAGGAGGGAAATTAGACAACATCCATATAAATTAAAACACATACACCCTCTGACTTAGCAATGCCACTTCCAGTGGGCATCTTCCCCCAGAGAAGGATAACATATGTGCAGGGTCATCCACAGCAGAATTATTTCAAAAGCTCAAAGTTGGGAACCACTTACATATCCATCAACAGAAGACTACAAAATAACACTTGATATTTCCATAAATTGACATATTCTGCAGCTGGTAAACAATGGAGCAGGTCTCTATGTCCTTATATGGAATCTCAATAAGAAATTATATGGCTTGCATTTGGGAGAGGTTTTCCAATCACCAACAGAGCACAGAGAATGAATGAGAGAGGCATTCTAAACCTTTGAATAACTATGAAAAGGAGAAACACTGGCTTCCTATTCAGTTCTGTTCAAAGAGCTTTCATGTAGCACCTACTATGCGCCAGACTCTTCTATGGAGAGAGTGTCTAATGCCAGGACGGAACGAAACCTGCCTGGAACAGGATCTGGGCTCTTGCCCCAACCCTAGCTGGCCCTGTGACCTTGGGCAAGGCCCCTGTCATTTCTTGGCTTCAGTCTCCTATCTGTAAAAGGGCATTGGGCTAAATGGTCTGAAGTCCTTCTTGCACTGACATTCCAGGATCCAGGAGCTAAACTGAGGATCCAGGGCCTCTGAAAGAAAACCCAAAATAAGCATTGTTGCTGCCTTAACTGAGGGACCCCTAAGTCATCCTTTTAGGGGACCTCTTCCCTTAGGTGAGGGACATTCTGAGATGGCCCAGCTCTGCTTGAAGCCTTTAGTGACTGTGTGCAGCAGTCCCTGAGTCACACAAGAGTTTCCTGAACAACCCACAACCATCCTGGATAGACCCATAAAGCTCTTGGCATCTCCTTTCACCAGGGCCATCAGATTAAACAGTGAATCTCTGTCCTTCAGGAATCTGCCCAGTATGATGTTTCCGAAGATTAAATAAAGAAAAACCTAATATACTCCCTCAGTGCTCTGGATGGATTTATCCTCATTAGAAGGGAACAGAATGTAAGCTTGGTGAGAACAGAGCTTGTGAGCTTTTTTTTTTTTTTTACAGCTATTTGCTCCACCACGGTGGAGGCTCACACACAGTAGGTTCTCAGTGAATGCTTGTTGCGTAAAGAAGAGTCTCGGCCATGCTGAGGGGGAAAGTGCTCTGTGGACGCAGCAGGCAAGGTCTAGTCTTGTGCCTGGGAAAGTCACTCAAATCGTCAGTTCCCTTATCTATGGAAACATGGCTGGGCCAGATTAGAAGAGGCAAAGGCTGTGGTGCCAGGCAGACTAAGGTTTCAGACTTCCCCATCATTTACCAGCTGCCAAGCCTTGAGTGAATAGCATGATATCTCCAGGCCTCGATATACCTGATGTGTAGAAGAGGGTGGCATCAGATCATGAAAGTGAGCACCCACTGCCACCCTTGATTGTTGCTGACAGAGAGGACAGTGCTATTATTGACTTCTTGTCACAACTTAGGGGACGAAGGAGGCCCACACTGTACTCTCCACGCACAGACATCGGAGTCCCTGGTCCAGACTTAATCTCCACGTTGGCAGGAATTGCTCTTAGGAGCTTCACACAGTAGTAGGTGCCAGTGTCTTCGAGGGTGATGTTACTGATGCGGATGGAATAGTCTGTGCTGTTTCTCTTTCTCTGGTCTGAAATAGTTGTTACCCAGGGAGAGTGGCATCCTTTTGGACTGTAGATTAATTTCCGGCCTGGACCAGCTCCTCTGAACCACTGGACCAGTCCCACAGGGAGCAGGGAGGTCACAGTGCAGTTCAGAGTGGCCGTTTCTCCAGCTGCAACTGACACGAATGCCTCAGGCTAAATCACCTGCAGCTCCTCACCTGCCACTTCTAGAAAGTAACAGAGCCATCATTTATTCATCCTTACGTGATCTTGAATGTTTCCTCAAGTGTTTATCAATGAACTTCAATGACTGGGTGCATACCAGGAGAAGGCCCTGAGCTCAGCACACTGCATGTATTATCTCGTTTAACACTCACAAGTCTGTAACATGAGACTGTATTACATGTGAGGACGCTGAGACACAGAGAGGTTCAGTTTCATGGGGTTACTAACCTGAGTGGAGTGGAGCTCCTGAGCCCCGCTTGGAAGTGTCATGCTTTGCCGAATATTTGTGCTTCCACTTTCTGGCCATATGGAGTATTGCACTTTCTTTTCTTTTTTCTTTATTCTTTTTCTTTTTTTTAAGATGGAGTTTCGCTCCTGTTGCCCAGGCAGGAGTGCAATGGTGTGATCTCGGCTCACCACAACCTCTGCGTCCCAGGTTCAGGGGATTCTCCTCCCTCAGCCTCCCGAGTAGCTGGGATTACAGGCATGTGCCACCATGCCCAGCTACTTTTGTATTTTTAGTAGAGGTAGGGTTTCTCCATGTTGGTCAGGCTAGTCTCAACTCCTGACCTCAGGTGATCTGCACGCCTCGGCCTCCCAAAGTGCTGGAATTACAAGCGTGAGCCACCGTGACTGGCTGCACTTTCTGAATCATTGCATTGGGTGGGGCCATGTGACTGCTTTAGGCCACTGAGTTGTGAGCAGAAGTGATGGGTATAATTTGTGGCTGTGCATTTAACTGCAAGAGCCTCTATGGATTAACTTCTCCCTTCCACAGAGACCTACAAGGCTCTGATGAGGTCAGCTCCATCAGCCTGGATGCCTGAATGACCATGAATTCTCCACATACACTGAACATGCAGCTTAACTAACAAACTCAACATTGTTTTAAGCTTCTGAGAATTTCTCACCCATATTGTAATTACATTACCTTAGATTCCTAATGTTGATGTGACAAATTATCAGAACTTAGCATCTTAAAACAAAAGAAATGTATCATCTTATAGTTCTGGAGGTCAGAAGTCTAAAATCATGTTATGGATAGAATCAAGGAGAAAAATATTCAAATATACAAAGGTACGGATGACACGTTGGTGACCATTGCAGATAGGTAGGATGAAGAAGTCCGGAGATCTACTGTGCAATATGAGGACTAGAGTTAATAGGATTATATTGAATTCAGTATTTTTGCTCAAACAGTCTATCTTAGATGCCCTACACACACACACACACACACACGTGATAACTATGTGAGAGGATGGATGTGTTCATTTGCTTGACTGTAATAACCATTATCCTATGTCTATGTATATGAAAGTACCATGTTTTACCCCTTAAATAAGAGGTGTCAGCAGAGCTGTGTGTATTCTGGAGGCTCTGTTCCTTGCCTTTTCAAATTCTAGAGGCTGCCACATTCCTTTTCTCATGGTTACATCTTCCCGTCACTCCAACCTCTTGCTTCCATTGTCATATGTCCTACAAAGACCCTTTTCATACACTGGGCCCATCCTGACACTAGACCAAGATGTTAAATCACTATCTTAAACTTGCTCAAACAGCTAAAGAAAACAACAGACAAACAACTAAAGAAACATTGGAATATGATGCATTAATAAAATAAGAACAACAGCAAAGAAAAATTATAAAAATTAAACAAACAGAAACTTAAGAGTTAAACAGTACAATAATTGAAAAATCCACCAGAGGTGTTCTCCAACTGGTGTGAGCAGTTAGAAGAGAGACTCAGAAAACTGGAATATGGAATAGTTGAAATTATTGTGACTGGGGAATAGAAAGAAAAAGGAATAAAGAAAAACAAGCAGAACCTGAGGACATCGTGGGACATTATCAAATGGATCAACATAAACACTGTTAGAGTTCTAGAAGAAGAAAAGAGCAAGTGAGAAAGGAACAGATTATTCAAAGACATAATACCCCAAAACCTTCTGAAACTTGATAAATACATGAATCCTCAAATTTCAGATGCGGAAGAAACTCAAGTTTAACTCAAGGAAAAACTCAGAGACCCACACTAAGACACATTATAATCCAACTGTTGAAAACTAAAGTCAGGGAAAGAACCCTGAAAGCAGCAACAGAAAATGGATTCCTCACATACAAGAGTTCCTCAATGAGATGATCAGCCGGTTTCTTATCAGAAGCATTGGAAACCAGAAGACAGAGGAGTGATACACTGAAAATACTGCAAGAGGAAAAATCTATCAACCAAGAATCTTATACCTGGGAAAACTATCCTCTAAACATGAGGCAGAAATTAAGATATTCTCAGATGAACAAAAACTAAGAGAGTTCACTACCATTAAACCTTACCTACAAGAAATGCTACAGGGAGTGGTTTCAGGTAGAAATAAAAGGATTCTACATGGCAACTCCAAGTTGTGTAAATAAAAATGTCCAGGCTGGGCAGAGTGGCTCGTGCCTATAATCCCAGCACTTTGGGAGGCCAGAGCAGGCAGATTACAAGGTCAGGAGATCAAGACCATCCTGGCCAACATGTTGAAACCCTGTTTCTACTAAAACTACAAAAGTTAACTGGGTGTAGTGGCATGTGCCTGTAATCCCAGCTACACGGGAGGCTGAGGCAGGAGAATAGCTTGAACCAGGGAATCGGAGGTTGCAGTGAGCTGAGATCGCACCACTGCACTCCAGTCTGGTGACAGATTGAGACTCTGTTTCAAAAAAAAATAATTAATTAATTAATTTTAAAAGTCCTGCTACATGTAAATTTATTTTATTTTATTTTTTTATTTTTGCAGGATCATAGACAGAGGCTAACAAATCCTCCTTCAGGTTTATTTGTATAAATAGCACAGAAGGACCCCATCCCCATGAAGATGGCAGCCTGGAGGCGGGGGTGGGGGGTCGCACCAGTCCTTCTGTCCTCACGTTGGCAGACAGAGATATCTACTCTGTAGCCTTTGTAGTGGCCTGGGCACCTTTGGGAGCCTGAGCTGGAATTGAAGCTGGAGCTGCAGCCTGGGCCTTGGTTTGATCCTGGGCTTTGGCCTTTGGCTGGCACAGCCGGACCCCTTGGCAGTGTGAGCACGAGCACGCTTCCCAAAGTTGGGGTGGGTAATGTAGGCAAGTCAATCAAGCTTGCTGCTGACACCTTTTGGGATCTTGGGCTTAATCTCCTCGGGCTTTACGAGGGCCTTGACAGCCTCGGCACATGCACTCATGGCCTTGGCATTGTTGGCCTGCATCTTCCTTAGGCCCTTCTTGTTGTGCTTCTTGGCAAAGCGCATGTTCCTCAGGAACTTGTGGTCCACCCCCTTAAGAGATTCGTATCTTTGTGATTGGGGTTTCTTGATCCTATTTCTGTGCCATTTTCGGGACTGGTTGTGTGTGGTGTGGTTCTTGGACTTGGCCATGTCTGCACCTTAAGCCGCGGCTCCCGAAGCGCCTAGAACCGGAAGAGAGTAAATTTATTTTAATTCATATTTTTCTGATGCTTCAACATCCCACAATCATGCTGTGAGTACTCTGCCCAGGTGACCATGCGCACCAGTGTGATAAGGCTGGTCCCTGGAACAAGTTTCTTGCCCTCCCATATTGTGACCTAGTCCCATAAAAAGACACCAGTAAATCCCATCATGCTCTTTGCTTGTACCCTGTACCCTGACTTCCAGTAAAGGCCCTTGCTGAGGAATTCTTTCTCTCTTGCTTCCCTATCTGCTTGATTGAGCCTGCTTCCTTGGAGCTCTTCTCATATGTCTTTCTACCTGGCATGCCCTACTTCCCTCTCTAGGACCAGTGAGTAAAATAAATCATACTCCATATGCCTTTCCAAGTGAAATCTTCATGGCCATCTTAGAGTAATTCGTAAAGACCCAAAAGCCTGACTTTACCATTTTCAATACTAATGGCAATGAAAATGGGATCATTCTAAACTGGAGTGGAAAGTTCCTAGGAGATGCTCTTTAACTGTTCATGGCTTACTAATTTGCTACTCTGATTGGTTCCACAACTTGAGAAGGCTTTTTACACTGATGGCTTTCTTGTGCTGTGCTATGTGCAGCTTTGTGTTACCTTTTGGAGTTCTGCCAAGACTCTATCCTGAAGTGAGGATCCTGCTTAAATATCAATAATGACATCTACATTTCTTCAAGAGCACGGGATGACATAACACTGATAACAGCCCCTTCAAAGGAGATTCATGTGATATGCATATTAACATCACATTATTCAGCATCTCTAAGTTGTTTTGAGTTTTGAGGTGCCAGTGACAACATATTCTTCTTTTACAAAGTTTATTTACAAATTAAAATCAATAGGCACCCCTGTTAGTGCCTCTAAGCAAAGAAACAAAAATACCTCTTCTCTGTGGAGACTTCAGCAATTTCTTTCTTGCTTTTTGGAGTTTCTAGACCATTCATGATGGCCATACATCCAGGGCCTTTCATGTGAAAACAATGCCCCTCTCACCCTTGTGCTATACTCCATTAAAACAACAAATGCCTGGTCACCTACTGGGATCTCCTATCCTGGAGTCCAGATCTAGGAACAATACTCTCCTGTTGCAGTCATGAACCATAGATTGCCCCACATGCGAGGCTCTGCTCATCTGAAATGGGGCCCACTGGAAACTAAACTTTCACTGAAACGCAAAATTAAAATTTCCATCAGGTGCAGTTGCATACCATTGTGTTGACTGTCGGTCTTATAATTTGTTGATGCAACAATTCTCAACCAAATATTAGCAAACTGAATTTAACAGCACATTAGAAGGATTCTACACCATGACTAAGTGGAATTTATTCCTAGAATACAAAGATGTTTCAATATACAAATGATAATGTAATATACCATATTTACACAATGAAGAGAAAAATACACGATTATCTCATTGGATGTAGAAAAGCATTTTACAAATTTGAACATCTTTTTATGAGAAAAATAATAAAAGGAATATATGGAC